TTACTCCAATCCATTTTCAAGGCCTAATAAGGACTCAGACCGGGTCATCCTCCCTGCCTACCAACTTAGGCATTGATGCTACAGCAAGCGAACGACAGCTCACTACCCTTTTGAGCAAACAAACCCCAGAGTAGAAGGGACCCGTTCAGTTCATCGACATCCCGCCTTTTTACACCGTCTGTCTCTCACAACTGCACAGCGCATCGAAACACAGCATAGCATAGCATAGCTAGCGTTTTAGCTTCGCAACAATGGGAACAAGGACAGCTTCTTCTGCTGTTGCTGATGCATCACCGAGAGGACCTGGTCGCACTCAGTCTACACGGTCTTCTCGTTCCAGTCGGGCTCCAGCTCCCTCTTTTCCTCCCTCGTCTTCCGCTTCAGCGGCCCCAGCAGCGCCTGCACCAGCCACGCCCACTGGAACAGGTGCCAACTACACCCAATCTCACACCCGCCAGCTATCACACTCACACTCACATTCTCAATCTCGCTCCCAATCCCAGTCCCAGGCCTACGCCTCCCGCTCTCAATCCCATTCCCACTCTCACTCCCGCTCTGGCTCAAACGCCGCCAACTCACATCTCCCCCCTCATCATAACCATCATCAGCGTACTACCTCATCTTCACGTCCTCACCAGTCACAACCTGTACCGCAAAATGACTACGAATCCTCACGCTTAGCCGCACCCGCAAACCATCAAAGAAGCTCGAGCAAGGAACGACCACCCCCGGCCAGGGGCCCCGATCCCTCGCGGGCCCATCGACGGAGCTCTTCTCGATCAAAGAACAACCACCACAGCCCTCATCCCGAAATGCCTCCTTCCGCCAACCCTCCCAGTAACGGCGCTGGTAATGGAGCTGCTTCTCAGCAGCATGGCCATGCCGACGCGCCACCCCGAACTTCAACATCCAAGCACGCGAGATCACGTACCGTAATCCCAACTCAATCTGGAAAATGGATGCTAGGCAAGACCATTGGCGCCGGCAGCATGGGCAAGGTTAAGCTCGCCCGAAAGGAGGATGGCAGCGAACAGGTGTGTTTTGGATTTATCTTTTTGTTTGATGTCGCCTATCCCCGCGCATTGTCTCATCATTCGGCTATTCGCATCGATCTATCCATCCTTCTGCCCCTCATGCCTAGGCCGTGATGATGCTTATCAAGGTTTAAATTTCCACGATACTAATCACGCCTCACCAGGTCGCCTGCAAAATTATCCCTCGTGGCTCAACAGACGATGGCCACCAATCTCGTGCCGACAAGGAACGCGCCGATCAATCCAAGGAAATCCGAACTGCCCGTGAAGCGGCTATCAGCACCCTCCTGAATCACCCCCACATCTGCGCCCTTCACGATGTGGTTCGTACCAACCACCATTGGTATATGCTTTTCGAATACGTCAACGGCGGCCAGATGCTTGACTACATCATCTCGCATGGCAAGCTCAAAGAGAAGCAAGCCCGAAAGTTTAGTCGGCAGATCGCAAGTGCTCTGGATTATTTGCATAGAAATAGCATCGTCCACCGAGACCTCAAGATTGAGAACATCCTTATCAGCAAGACGGGCGACATCAAGATTATCGATTTTGGTCTAAGTAACCTCTTTGCTCCGCGCGGCCATCTCAAGACCTTTTGCGGGAGCTTATACTTTGCTGCTCCCGAACTGCTGCAGGCCAGAGCTTATACTGGCCCAGAAGTTGATGTATGGAGTTTTGGCATTGTTCTATATGTTCTGGTCTGTGGCAAGGTTCCATTCGATGACCAAAGCATGCCCGCGCTCCATGCCAAGATCAAGAGAGGTCTTGTCGATTATCCCGCATGGCTGTCAAGCGGTAGGTTACTCAGGTGTTACTCTTGTACTATTTTCTAACTGAATTGCAGAGTGTAAACACCTTCTCTCCCGCATGCTGGTGACGGACCCCAAACAGCGAGCGACAATGCAGGAGGTGATGACGCATCCATGGATGGCTAAAGGCTTCAACGGTCCCCCCGATAACTACCTGCCCATTCGCGAACCGTTAACGACGCCACTGGAGCCAGAAGTCATTCTCGCTATGCAAGGTTTTAACTTTGGTACACCGGAAAGTATAAATGCACAACTTGCCAAAATAATTGAATCGGAGGAGTATCAGCGCGCCGTTAAGCTCTATCAACGAGAAAAAGAGCTCCCTCCACCCGCCAAGGATGCTGAAAAGAGGAGACCATTCGGTTTTGACTTTTACAAGCGCAGAAATTCTGGCAACAGCCGCGATACATTATCGGCTCCTAGTTCCGAGGCACTGCAGATCGGCAACGATCCTATGAATGCATTTAGTCCTCTTGTATCCATATACTACCTCGTCAAGGAGAAGCAGGATCGCGACCATGCTGATATGGTTCCGCCAGCAGCAGCTCAAACACGTGACAAGGAGAAAGAGAAGGAAAAGGAGAGGGAGAAAGAGCGTGAGCGAGAGCGAGAGCGAGAACGTGAACGTGAGAAGGACCGGGAGAGAGAAAAGGAGCGTGAGATCCGTGAAAAGGAGAAGGCAAGGGAGGCAGAACCGATGCCCGAGATTGCGGCACCTCAAGCAGCCCACACCAACTCTGCCGCTTATGAAATGCCCGGTGAGAAACCCACTGGTGGACGAAGCAGACCTCGCGCGAGGACACATGGCGAAGACGACATGCCCGATATACCGAAGCCTCCCCCTGCGCCACCCGCCGAGCCAAGAGTTGAGCAACTTCAAAAGAAGGAAGGCACCGCAGCTGGTATTCTACGTAGGTTCAGCACACGCAAGCGTAGGGACCCTGAGCGTCTAGACAAAGACCGATCGCACCCTCCTGTGGTACAAGTCCATTCACCAGCTGAGCCTTCTCCCTTGGCGCCCCGCAAGAGCTTCAGTATCCGTCGTGGACGTCGCGACAGAGAGGATGCGTCAGACTCACAAATCCGTTCCGCGAGTGGTCAGCAGCATGGTGAACTCCTTAGCCCACCAATGTCTGCAGGTGGTTCAAGGGAGAACAGAAGAGGAGGTGGCCTAGGGCGGTCGACGAGTGTCAACTCGGCTGACCTGAGACGGCGAAAAGACCCTCCAGCAACCAGTGGTTCTGATCAGTCTGTCGCAAATGAAGATTCCTCCAGCACACACCGTGCCCACGGACACTCCCGGTCCGTGAGTCTGAGGGCCAAGTCTATTGGCCATGCTAGGAGGGAAAGTATCCAGCAGCGTCGCATGAGAAGAGAGGCTGCTCAAGAGGCCAATGTGCCCGAAGAAACAGATCAAGAACTAGAGCAGAGTGGTGTATCCACAGACCGACTAGACGACACAGAACTTGCCAAGCCAGTGTTCCTGAAAGGACTTTTCAGCGTATCGACGACATCTGGCAAGTCAGTACCTGCGATTCGAACCGATATCAAGCGAGTGCTGCGGCAGTTAAATGTGGAGTATACAGAGATCAAGGGCGGCTTCAACTGTCGCCATTCGCCCAGTATTGATCTGAACAAGGTGCAAGACCCACCTACGAGTCCCGGCATGACACCAGGGCACAAGCGACGATTCAGTTTCGGCGGCCTTATGCGGGGAGACGATCGTGAGCGTGAGCGGGATGAGTTCCGCGACTCAGAACGACCTCCTACTACACCACGAACGCCAGGACGCTCTGATCGAGACCGCAGCTTTTCCAACTCCGAGACCTCATTCGACAGTATTCCTGGCAAGAATGGGGGTCCATCAAGGCGAATCCCCGGAGAAACGAGCACGCAAGTGCAAAGTGACCTTGGAGGAAGCATGGTGCTGGAGTTTGAGATTTTCATCGTAAAGGTCCCATTACTCTCATTGCACGGCATTCAGTTCAAGCGATTGACAGGCAACACGTGGCAATACAAGAGCATGGCGGATCATATTCTTCGAGAATTGAGGCTATAAGCGATCGTTTAGCACTTCTCTAGGAAGATATTTGCAACATAGGAGTTTGGTTGAAGCAAGCACTGGGAAGGAGTTGCGTTGTTCGTAGACGTGAAGCATGGCTGGCTACCGCCGGGAATTTCAAGCGACAGAGGGCTCTAAGCACGTGGGTGGTTGTATAGTTCGATAGCGCTTTTCGTTATTTTAACTTGTAAGCATGGGTCGTCATAAAGAAAGCACATGGAGGTAATGATTTATTATAGCACTTACAGAGAGAGGAAGCACTGGAGAAGAGCTAGGAGAAAACCTATGAATGTAATTGGAGATTTTATGCTAAACATGACTGAGACAACCTGACCAAGTAAGGTAGACTATACTTTATTAGCCATGACGCTGAAATACGTGATTCCATTGTTACTCAGAAACCCTCGAGTCTTTGGGGCACAGATCGAGCTGTGACAAGGCTTGGGTAGGACAAGGCTGACAATGATTGTTTATAGTGATAGGTTGGCATGGGAGAGCTACCTCCCCGCACTTGCATGGCCATGTAGACTTTTGCGGCATTGTGGCATACCAGGATACTTGTTTGTGGTCCAAGCGTCAAGTCCCGATGCCACATCCGGTTCTACCTATCGCAGCCTGAGCTCCATAATGAGAAGCAGGCTGACCAATCCCATCACCAGAAGCCGAATCGCTCTTTGCCCCAGTAGCACCTGCGAGCACCACCACAAACCAACCCGCCAAACGATCTCACCTTGCTTGCTTGGGTTTGAACCTCACACTTACTTATTGTGCCCTATCACCCGACGATACAACAAAGTCCTCATCGATTGGAATCTAGTCGAAAAGAACCGTTAGCAGATATTATACAGTCCTTTCTCCGACAAAATTTAGTCTCCTCACCGATTATTCCCCCTTCACCCATTGGAAGTGTTTCGTGTACCTCCGCATTTGCGCCCTCGATTCATCAACCCGATCTCAAACTCGCTGCGCCGAAACATCGACCGACACTCCAGCCAAGCTTACATCATTGACGAAAAAGAGTACTGCTCGACTTGCAAGTCATAAAACCATAACCTCCGTTCCGAACCCCGTCGAAGAAGAAAAGATACGCCCAACATGATGCCAGCGGCGCACGTCTACGGACACCACCAATTCAACCCTCAGGGAGGAGACTCGGCTTGGATGCACCAGCAGCCTGGCGCGCATCATGCCCATACTCAACAACAGCAACAGCAAGTAGCCGCTGCAGCCGCCGCCGCCGTTCAGCAGCAGCAGCAGCAGCACTTTAACCGTCTTGCTGGCGCAGGTCAACTCCCCGGCCACGGTCAGGATGCCGATCACAGCAATGTCTCGGAGGACAACCGGCGTACCATGGCCTTCATAGCCGATCTTCTCAGCGAGAACACTCGGGAGGCTGCTTTGTTGGAACTTAGTAAAAAGCGCGAGCAGGTCCCCGAGTTGGCTCTCATATTGTGGCATTCATTCGGTACGTGCCCAGCCCGTGTTATCTTGGGCTACCAGGCCTCTCTGTATCTTGAAGAAGCCAGCTAACATGTCTCCCAGGCGTCATGACCTCTCTCCTCCAAGAGATCATTTCAGTTTATACTCTTCTTAACCCATCCCAGCTTACTGCAGCTGCCTCAAACAGAGTGTGCAATGCCCTTGCCCTCCTCCAATGCGTAGCTTCTCACAATGACACAAGGACCCTGTTCCTCAACGGTGCGTATATCTTGGCTCAAATTCAGGTGTCACATGGCTCACGATCTATAGCACACATTCCTCTGTTCCTCTACCCCTTTCTCAACACCACTTCCAAATCTCGGCCTTTCGAGTACCTCAGGCTCACGAGCCTGGGTGTCATCGGTGCGCTCGTCAAGAACGATTCCTCTGAAGTCATTAACTTCCTCTTGACCACAGAGATCATCCCTCTCTGCTTGCGCATCATGGAGACAGGTTCGGAACTTAGCAAGACCGTAGCCATCTTCATCGTTCAGAAGATACTTTTGGACGACAACGGCCTTAACTACATCTGTGCTACATACGAGCGTTTCTATGCTGTTGGTACAGTCCTCAGCAACATGGTTGCTCAACTTGTCGAATCACAGACCGCTCGTCTCCTCAAGCACGTCGTCAGGTGCTTCCTTCGGTGAGTTGAACACGTGTCTATCTTGTTGTTCATGGTCTAATCGATAATCATTTAGGTTGAGTGACAACGCTCGCGCTCGTGAGGCTCTGCGTCAGTGCCTTCCTGAGCCACTCCGTGATGCTACCTTCTCGTCCGTTCTCCGTGATGACGCAGCGACCAAGAGATGCCTTGCCCAGCTGCTTATCAACTTATCAGACAACGTCGCGGATCCTAACTCTGGCGGTGTGTCTGGCATGTAAGAGTGGAGAGACTAATATTGGGATGGCTACTCAGCCTCCCGTTGTGACAATACATACCCCTTGTGCATTGATACGGCGATTCATGAAGGACGGGCATTTTTTATTTTATGATATTCTGGGAAAAGCGAAGGGATCAAAAGCATATTGCATCGTTGATACCCGCAACCCCTCCGGCTCGAAGCGCCGAGAGAAGTCCAGAGCTCCAGCATAGCACCTGGACCGACTTCTCTTCCAAAGCCGCTGACGGTTATGGGACTTGCATTCTGTTTCACATACCTCGGAAATGGGTAAAGAGGCTTCTATCGATCTGCCGCAGATCAGTAAGGCACGGCGCATCGTTCTTCTTACATAGCTTTTCCATCTAGCATCTTGGCCGCTCAACGACCGAGCTGGAGACGGATAGGAACGACACTTTTGAAACGGGCTCAGTCTAAATATACGAAGGAAGATCTATGGGTGGTTACTAGGGGGGTTCATGTAACAGGTACAAGGATAGCTAGCTGACTGCCGGCTGGAGAGGCGCTGGATAGACTTGGGCGGAGGCACATGGAAGTCTTTAACATGCCTGGTTTGGTGGTGTTTTGGCGTTGGATGGTGCATCAGAGACACGGTGTTGGTCAGGTTTAGGGGTGTATGTTGTAAGAATTGCAGCTTTATAAAAGATGTGTTCAAAGTTGATATCGGTGATTCTGGGGTGAAAACACGGAGTATAAGTCATGATGGCAAACCGTTATCATCTGTGGTTCGAATCGGCACAGCAGAGTCACGAGTATCAAGCTAAAGAAATTTCACAGTCCATAAGACACCATAGCCTGTGGCCATAGGCTTTCAAAAGTGCTTGAGGCCTGCTTCAAATTTTGTATACAAGATTCCATCAAGAAAGGCAGCGGGATTCTCGTAGTTGCAGGTAACCGTCAAGTCAGAACACAAAAGTGCCAGGAGGAGTGTTGCCCATATTGAGAGACATGATCAAGCCATAGAGATGGAGAGAACCCTGGTCGCGATACAATGCTTTTGTGTATTCCAATTCATGTCGTGGTGAGTGACACACAGAAATGTGAAGGTATCTAGTACAATTACAAAAGACCGCAGAACAGCCTCTTCCATACAGGACGAGGGTTGGATCGCTGCTCAAGAGCATGCTTCTTGAGATCACCATCGTCATCGCTGTCGTCATCATCCTTCTTGACAGCAGCGATCCAGTCAACATAGAGCTTGAAGTCTCCATCCTGCTTATCAAAGAAGCTACTCAACGTTAGCAACGAGTCTCCTTCGAATTTAGAACATGGAAACTTACCTTCGTGCCATGAGGGATATTCTCTTGATATCGTTCAACTTCAACGGCTCAGGATCCTCAACCTCTCTCCCACGATACGTCGCCTTGAACTCATCCCACTTCATGAAAATCTCACCTCCGTTCTCCGGCGCCTTGAAGTCATACTCCCAGCTCACACCAGCCTCATCTCGCCCGTCCTCCCTCTTTCCAGGGATGGTGTCCTTGACGTTGAGGGTAAAGGTCTGATCCGAGCTGTCCCAGCCGAGGGAGAGCTTTATGCCCTCTGTGCAAGAGAGATCGAGGGCCAGGTCGCCGACTGTGCGCTGCGAAGCAAAGCCAGCGCCGCCGAGGGTCTTTGTGTCAAGATGGCCGTAGAACTTGGCTTGCGTGGGGTGAGTGTAGAGGTGTGAGATGCTAGAGCCGCCGCGGACGCGATCGTCCGAGGCTGTCCAGAGACCACTATCCCAAGCCCTTGAAGATGTTAGTTAGCTACTCAGGTGCTGGTACTAGCTTGTCTTTGCGGTAGGTGCTGATACGTACTTGGGGCCACCGAAGATGTATTGCAGACCGTTTGACATTTTCACTTTGTTTTCACGTTCAATTGAAGGAAGAGAAGTGAATTGAATTGAGTGAATTGAGATGCCTGATGTTTTGGTATGAGCGGATGCTTTAAATGGATGACATAATTGAGTTTGCTTGTAGTACCACGCCAAGTCGGCAGTTGAGATGCTTACGTACAGCAGTTCAATCAAGCTTCAATATCCCTTGTAAAGCAACGCAGCATTTCCTCAAACATGATGTTCATTTCAATATTGACTGATTCTTTTTTTGAATAATGAAACATCTTCATCTTGAGACAATCCAATTCGAGATACGTCACCAAAACATAAACCTCAAAGATGGCTTTTGATAGTCTCGAGCCAGCCTCTCTCGTCCCGTTCGCACGGACATGGCGGCAGTGGTAGATGAAAACAAGGTTCACACCTCAGAAGCATAAGGTTGGACAACGGTACCTATCATACATGTGTTGGTCCAGGCGCTGTTGACCGTCCTTGGGTCGTGAGTTAGATCATACCTAGCCTGGAATCGAATAGCGGCAGATCGAGTCCAGGCCTGTCTATGATCTTGAGCTTCTAAAGTCAATTCATGTCAGTATCTAGATATCTGCTCGAGTACTGTCCTGCAGACAAAAGGACCAGACTCTTTGCCTTGTTACTTAACTGATGGCTACAGAAACCTGCTTGCTTTTTGGTGTTCTGCCTTTTCTGGTGATTTGTCTGCAATGATTTGGGGGCCGTCGTTTGATCTGCAGCGTCAACAAGGTTGGTAATTGAATGCATCCAATATTTCAATACTTGTCCACAGCCTGCCTACCTGTAGCCGAGAATGATATCCGCCTACTCACCTTTTGATGTACACGCAGACTCACACCCTTTTCCGTGACCTTTTTTTCCCTTTTCAATCCCCCTCTCATTTCATTTCATTTCATCACGTCTCCTCTCGCTCCCATTCATCCGCCACTCCCGGCAACAGTATCATTTGCCACTAGAGCAGACGAGGGTCCAAATCCTCCCAGAACAGGAGCAGGACTCTCCCTAAGCACCCGGCGTGAATCTTGACCCGAGCCTGATTTCCTCTTTGTTATCCGTAGCCGTAGGAGCCGGCAGGACCACGTACGTCGGTACCGAAGAGGCCAGGCCATGCACCCACAGAGACAGGCCCAATAACATGACGGATATAATGCCAACTTGTAACACAACAAAACGCCCGGATTTGCCCATGCAACCCTCCTTGGCACGTGGAGGTAGGACTTGGACTCGGACTCAGAAAGTGTCTCCCAAATCCCAATCCCAAAATACTCATCCACACCCTAGCACTCCGGTCTGTTAGTGGTAACCGCCGAGCGAGCAACAGCTCACTCGCTCACATACCGGTCAGGTCCAGTAGGTCACATAGCGCATAAAAGTCCCTGTAGCATATGAAGAAAAGAGGGAGGGGCACGACACAACACGCAATGCAATACGGAAAATGACACCCAACAGACAGACAAAGACAGTAGACAGTAGACGAGGCTCTGAGGCGCAAGTTCTGGATTCCGCCTCAGTCGTCTAGCTCAACTTGCACATGCACACGGAACATGGAGCTGAAGCCCCCCTCTCAAGCCATCGACTCACCATGGCACATTACCCGAGCCTCTATCTATTCAGCTCCGTCTGTCTACGCGAGTAGATAATAAACGAGGGAAACGATAAAGCAAACCCAGTAACTGAGCTGCACTACCTGACTACCAGCATGCATGTCCCTTGATCTTGATCTTCACAAGGGAGGTCAAGCTCTATCATATCATGCCATGCCATGCCATACCAACTCTGTTCTAGTTCAGCCAGCCTCATTCATTCATTCATTATCTACTTAGACTAACCTCACTCATCACTCCTAAATTCTTGGGCCACTTTCATCACATCACAATCATTATGAAACACAGCCAGCTCATAACTTGTACACTTCACTTCACTTCACTGCAGTCAAGCACAAAGCGCTATGCACATTTCATCATCTAATTTGTCTCATGGCTCAAGATATCTATTCAACCAACACTAACAAGAATGTAAGTGGCTAAGCCAAGGTCTCTCGACCCCGCAGCCGCCATCTTTGTTGTTTGTTTGCCTCCTTGCCTGCTTTCAACCTTTGCCAGTCCAGTCCAATCCAATCCAGTTCAGTTCAGTGTCTGCCCAATATACATTCGGATGCATACAAGCGTATGCCGTATGCATTCCCAAAATGCCTCACTTGTCTTCTTTTCCTTCGCCATTCCAAATAAGCAATTCGTCCGTGCATCTTGCAGCCGTTACAGAAATCACATGGTCGAGCGCTTCGACCCTGTGTACATAAAACGAATGCAGACGAGTGAACATCCTCTCGCCTGTGACATAGATACCTTTGCCAGTACCAAAAGAAGTGAAAAGTGTGGAGTGTGAAAGTGTTCAAATATATCAAAACCCGCCATGCTATGCCTCGTAGGGCTCATTTCCAACGCCTAACCCAAAATCTCAAAGTTCGCTATGTTTCTTTCTTTCTCTCGCCTATACCAGCTGCCCTATTGGTGCTGGATTAGACCAGGCGAGCCAGGCATTGACAGAGGCGTGGCAGGGTAATCGAAGCCAGCCTCTGAGCAGTTGGCAGAGTGGTCGAAAGAATGCGACAGCGGAGGAGTCTGCGAACCCCATCAGCAACGTGGATCTCGTACAACCCCACGGGGCGTTTGACTGGCGTGACTCACATGAGGGTTGGACTGTTCGTATGGGCTACCAGAGTTGAAGTCCATGGGTGGCATGTAACCGTAGGTCATGTAAGGAGTGAGTCCGTCGTCACTAGGGTACGTCTCCCGCTTGATGGCATCGCTGAAGTGTGTCATGGAAGGAAGCGTCATGGGCACTGTAGACGCTGTCATGTAGTTGGGGTAGGCATCAGCGGTTGTGATGGCTGGGTATGACTGAGTGGAACCGTAGGGTGCGAGGAGGATCTCATCGGGAGCAGGGTATGTTGAGTATGTGAACTGAGGAGGGCTGTCTGAGCGAGCTCGGTCGTCGTAGGTGCCGGGGAAGAAAAGCTCGTCAGTAGGCTCCATGGGAGGAGTGAATTGGCCCTGTGAGGCAACAGACTTGCTGGGAGCTCCGGATTGCGATTTTTGAGACTTGGGTGCGGAGGGGGATCGCTTCGACTTGGTAGGCTTCTGTGGCTGCTTGTCGGACTCGGCATCGTCAGAAGAACCAGCACGGCGCTCGAGGTCTTCAAGGCGGCGCTTGAGCTTCTTGCCTGAAAGAACTGTTAGTTCTGCAAAAACACCTTATGAGGCTCCAGAGTGAATCTAGAGTCAAGCAGGCTCAACATACGGTAGTTGCGCTGAGCAATGCGGTTCTGTATTCTTCGGCGCTCAGCAAGGTCAGAGATCTTGGTCCAGTCCTCATCGGGGTTGGCAGAAGCACTGAAAGCACTGCTTGTTCCCGAGTATTGTCTGGGAGGTGGAGGAGCTGCCGCGTAGGCGTAGGCGGGTTGTGTCATAAACATGGACATTGTGAAGTTGTTATATGGGTGAGTGTGGGGTTGCTTGTAGCTGAGAATTGTGAACGTCGATTTTGGAACGACGAAGCTCTAGATGGCCCAAAGCAAGATTGGGAGAGTTGGTTTATTCTCAATTGTTTCCTGTATCTGTCTGTCCTCTTGTGTCTGTCTTTATATCCAAACGAACTGAGAGGATAGCTATGATGGTCAAGGCGAGGTGGTGAGTGTGGTGTGGTAGTGGGTATATAAGTAGGCAGGTATATGAGTGCAGGATGAGAATGATCAAGAAGATCTGAAGCTACTTGAAGCTGAATCTGTTGATGAACTTGGAGATAGATGGAGAGCAAGACGGTTGGTGAGGGGGAAGAGGCTGTATATTAAATAAATGTCCCCAAAGCTGCGCGGAGCAGGCATGGCATAAGGTAACGGAAGGACCCAAGGACGTGAGTGAGTGACGAGTGAGTGGAAGGGACCCTACAAGGGCAGGGGCGTGTGAGGTGTGCGCCTACCTTACCTTGCCTTGCCTTGCCTTACGGGTACCTACTGTACTGTACCTATGAGGGGGTATCCAGCGCTGGACATTGCCTTGCCCTGCGCTGTGCTGCGCTTTCCACTCTGTCTCTGGTGTCTCTTTGATCAACCTACCTAATCTGCAGTGTAGAGAGTGAGTTGAACACACGCCCCTTCCCCTACCCCCTCCATCACACACAGACATCCTCCACTTTCCACATCGCACACCTCTCCCCTAGCACTACTAGCATGCACCCAAGTTAGTACCCAGCACCCAAGACGGCACGGCCACACACAAGCAGAAAAAGGTCCCTGGCTACCTTCCCTGGGGCCTGGCACCAAAGGAGAGGGGGTGTTGTTTAGTTGCTTGCGGGGGCTCCTTCGCCTCTGTCTCTCAGTCACTGTGTGTCTGTGTCTCTGTCTCTGTCTCTGTCTGGCGCTGGCCTCACAGGGCTGGTGCTCATCACCCTCTGAGCCCCAATCCAATGCACTCTGCAGACAAGGTCAGGGTAGCTCACGGTACGTACCTCCGCCTTTTCAACCTTTCCATTCAAGCCTGTCTCCACTGGCGCTCGCACTCGTTCTTCTCTCACTGGGTCATTTGCGATGCTACGGGGCATCGAAATCCTTTCGCTACGATCCTTGTGCCAAGCATTTCGTTCACTCATTCTCGAGTCCAGGGCCACAGTTTGGCATCGCGGCTGCTAATAGCGAAAGGCGAGACTGTTATGAAATGCTTCAATTTGTCTTTATTGAATTTATGACGGCAAGACGAGAGATGCACTGACTGTTGGCCACTGCAAATCCTCCACTAATACACTTGAAACTGTCTCATTTGGTACAGTACGGCCCGTGCTGTCGACGGGCGATCATTAAAACCTACCTCAAGGATTTATAATAAACTCCGCTGGCCATGTCCGATTCCGACTCCATTCGGACGAATAGAGCAAATTACCAGGATACTGACAAATTCGTTATCCATTTGTGAGCAGGTTTGCTATCATTATCACGGTGCTAACTTGATGAAATGCTGAATGATGAATCCAAATATCTGGATGTCTGCCTATATGCACAACAACCTCGCTGTGGAACAAGGAGGGGAGTGCTGCCATCCCACACAGCGGTGTCTCATCAAAAGAGCGGGATTCACTGCGTTACAGATCGGGGCTCAAGTAGGGCATGAGACGGAATTGAGCATCTGCTGTGTCTTCTCGTACTATACCAGAGCATGGCATATGCTATACTAGACCATACTGCGCCGTGCTGTGAAGCAGTAACGTATCGTATACCAGATACGGCTTGGTTTGGAATGTGAGCGTATTGGGTTTTATCAGTACTGAACGGTTCGTCACGTAATATCAACGGTGGAGAGTCAACGAGACGATGAACTACTAGGCGCAGCCAAGTCACCAGAAGGGCGGGAGCAAAATAGAACAGAGCCATCAGAGGCTGGCGCTATTAACAGAGCAGATGTCATTCTAACCGTCTAAAAGCCAACAACTGACAGAGAGACGAGACACAGAGAGGTGCTGTATGTTCCTTTGAAAGCTGGCACTGCACTCCCCGTCGTGGACACTAAACGAGCAAGCCAACCAGGTCCCCGAGATCAAGCCATGGACCAGCAAAGAAGCTTCAAGGCAGACTCGATGGAAATCTGGGCTAAATTTGCCCACATTTAGTCTATCGAGTCGAATGCCGTCTCCGTCTCTAGCGCAGCGTAGCATCGCCCTGCTTCCCCTAGTTAGCTCTCCCATGCCAGGCCCCCCAGGTCAGTCCCAGTCCGAGTCCCAGGAGCCAGGGCACGTTCACTCAAGTCCAGTCCCATGTCCTGGGGCTACCTTATCCACTGTTTTGAACTGAGCCTCTTGTCTGCCATTTGAAATTCCCTGTCCCAGAGAAAGGGTTCCTCTTAAAGCCGATGGAGGCAGTCTCCAATACAACCCAACCCTGGGAACACATCAAAAGAGGTTGGCCAATCACAAATAGGTCGACCCGAGCCCCCATAGTGGTAGAAGAGAGACCCCAAAATGATTAGCTTTTGATCCAACTCAGCCCTGGGACCAATTAAAGTCCCACAATCCCAGGCTCTCTCACACTCGAGACTTGTGTGAGTCTTGTCTTGGTCCGTCAGTCGCTCCAAGGACCGTTTTGCCGGGTAAGAAGACCTTTTGGCCGGGCCGATCACGTCGTTCATTCTGGCAGCGCCCGTCGTAGGGCTGTGTGACGACACGATTAGTTCTTATTCATCAGAGAAATGTCCAAGCCCTGCCACAAGAGATCACTAGCAGCAAGTGTACGTATATAGATAGAGTCACTGTCGACTATTCGTACTATTTCGGTTTAGATCTGTCCATGTCCCAAGAGAATGCCGCTTTTGCTCTGGAGATCTTGTCTAGTGACTCTACCCTGCCAGCCCTGCCTTACCGGCCTCTGATGCACAAGACGACAAGCGACATCAACATCGTGCCATGTTCCCCAGTTGCGCGCCTATCCCTACCGTTGTAGTCTTGAGGACCCAGGTCAAACAGTTCCCCAACAACCGACACACCCAACCACATGGCTACAGGACGATGAACCCCTGTGAATAATCACCGGAATATTACTATGAGTTAGAGTTGCAGTTACAGTTGCAATTGCAATTGTCTGGGCTGGGCTGGGCCAAAGCGACGCTGCGTTCAACTATTAGCTATATCGATAAGACATGGCACGTGCTGGCATTAACAACAACTGAAATCACATTGAGTAAATCGTCCATGTTGTATTGGGCGTGGTCGAATTGGGCCATATTTACGGCAGATCCTCGTTGTCTATAGCAGAACCAACAAGCCAAGGGACCAACATGATACACATCTCGCAGTAATGGAAACACGTAACCTGCAATTCTAAGTCCTGGCTTTACTCATAACAACCTTCAACCATCTTCGTCATATTATCTTACTTGCAGACTTTTCAACAACATCCCCAAAACCCTATTATTTGTCAAAGGAGGTCATACTGAATTCATTGAGTTTGGAAAATACCCTACAACGAAATAAAGGTGGGCAGGGGTCGGCTGTCCTCACGATCAAGCTTCCGGCTGTTAAAGATTAAGCGCGGCCGCACCAAGACGCTACCCAGAAACGTTTCTCACAGGCGGCCGACCCCTGCCCCGCGACCGTTGAGTGGCGACCCGTCGCAGCATTTGACTCAATTCTGGAGAGACAAGGTCCGGCAAGGCGTAACTAAGGGGGTGAAATACCGTACCCTACGCCATGGAATAACTTGTTTATTTGGAAATTCCCTTGGGGGCCACCTGAGGATCGACGTTCCATCAATTCCTTCGCCTACTTCGTTGGCGACCCATTAGCAGAGATTGACTTTCGTTAATGGTCCTGGAGAGAAGAGGCCTGGACTAGCCCCCTTTGAGCCATTTTGCCTGTAATGATGTGCAACTTGTCCCTGAACCTTGTTTCTTTTTGCCCAGTGCACAGGACAAGTTGTAGCGAGGCAGGCCTTCGGCTTGTGTACCCGTCTTGCAGCAACGGGGCAAATTACCCTGCTTTGCCAGAATCCTTCGAGACTTTTGCGCCCTGAGGTTGCGGACGATGGATCCTCACGCACAGCACGCAGACACACACATTCACACACACACACAGACACATCCAACACATGGCATTGGATCTCATGGGCTATCAGAGGCGCGATATGCTCGATGTCAATACCACATCCGCTTCAACTGTTGGTGATCTGGCGCTTATCTTCCGGATCACAATTTCTAATCGCGCCCGTTACCAGTTGAGCGGGTGACACAAGAAGCATTGTCGATCAACCACAACCAACCTTCTTCTTTGGAAAAACCCCGCAGCGACTTGGAGTTGGAGTTGGAGCTATCTGCGGCGAAATTGTGCCGCTCACTTACACGGACTGTCTCCTCCTCCGAAGACATTTCAAGTACACTAAGAAGTCCAACGTATCCACGACGTATGAACAAGCGGTCTGGCTGAATTGTCTGGTTGAAGCTATAGCGCTATTCTAAGCACTTTTCTGGTCTTAAAAAATCCTCACGATGAAAGGGCTGCGTTGACGTGAAGTGAAGCCTCTCGTCATTTGCTCCCGGGGTTCCATCACGGATATAGATGGGAGCTAACTGAGCTTCTCCGTGTAGAGACCGTAAAAGGAAATCACCGGCTCCGTGCATGGGGAGTTCCGGCTCCGCGGAATGTGCCATAACTAAGCATTTGGACACTTACGTATGGACGTGGGTGGTGCCCAGGGCTCGGCAGAGCGACGTCAACACGACCTAACATGAACCCCTTTTACTATTACCCGTGCGGTAGAACTGAATCAAGTGCAACATTAATTATCGAGTCCGTCGTCAGAAAATGTCAGAAAATGTCAGAAGACGTCAACAATGCTCAGCGTTGGGTTGCGCCCGTTGGTGGCGGATATCGTTTACCATGAATTATGGTTAATCGTTATCCCGAAATGACCCATGAGTTAGCCAGAGTCGCGAAGTGGGTTTC